CACTTTTTTTCTCTTTTACATCGTGGCATATTGTAGCGGCTCTCGTGGCTGTAGGGGGCAATCCTCAACTGGATGAAAACCTCCCCTCTTCCATTGGTGGGGGATGTTATGACCGTACCGTACCACGCTGGTCGCTACAGGTTGGTTACAGGTTGCAATACTGGACATCTGTGAAGATGCTCGCCCAGCTAGGGGAATGCAGCACTCATGGTTAGGTGATTCTGGCCACTGTTGAGGATTCAGGGTGTACGGATAAAAAATAATCGATTCTCGCCCACAGCATTCAATATACTTGTGCCGGGATCGTAAGGATCGACTTTGGCCGATGAGTCGACGTGCCGTTTACCGCCCTCTGCTTGCCAGTGACCTAGCAGGTCCTCCGACATGCATGGTGACTGTAAGGGATGGTTAATGTCACTGTTAGAGCGGCACGGCTCTATGGTATGTGTCGAACAGCACACGTTAACTGGGAAATAAGAGCTCGACAGCGGTTTTGATCATTGCATCACTGTCGACACAATTGGACTGAACAGATTTTTAAAAATGCACAGTGTGGTCTGCGAAATATCTCCGCTGACATGCTCTGCTCTCATTTGTACGTACGGACCTTTGTCAACCCACGTTGTTTCACTATACTTCACCACCCTGGTCATTGTGTGTTGCTGAAAGGAGAAGCATCCCAGGACCGATTCAGATTTCATTTGCCAGTGACATTAGCCATGGCCAGGAATCAAATATGGGTGGCCAGGTTCATCGCGCAGTGCGCGAACAACTGACCACCGCTCCACCCCCATAAATCTTTCTAATCAGTACTTAAATGAATAACTACAATATACACAGTGCTAGTTGTTGGTCATGGCTTGCTGAGAATTTCTTATGAAGCGAAACGTGTGGGGAGACCAGAACTGGTTCGCTCACCACTGACATTAGCTACCAGATGCTTGCTTAACCCAAGACAAATGTGCCTGTCACGTCACAGCACGGGCTGCGATGCCATCCATGCTACTTGCTGCATGTGGCACACAGGCCCCCCACTGAGGCTGGAGAGTGCATTCTGTCGGAGCAGTCGACTGGTTTGGGGCGCCACGGTGGAGAGATGTTAACTACCTCGCCTGGTATACAGGAGGTCGTTGGTTCGATCCTGACCCTAACGCCTGTATATTTGGAGTTTGCATGTTCTCCCCGTGGTCACATGGATTTTTATGAGGGTCCTCCAATGTTTTCCCTCCACGTTTAGAAAATGAGTTAAGTGCATTTAGCGGATGTACATTTCCACATGATAAGCCACTTCGTTGGCCTATCAATTGTGGCCAGGTCGTTTCTGAAAAAGAGCTATAGAGCTCAGTGGCCCTTGCCTGGTAAAATAAAAAAATAGTTAAGTTTTAGTTTGTCAAGTCATGCATGAGAACAGCAGGTCCCGCTTACGTCGGGGAAATTGGCTCTGTAATGCCATTTTCGTTGGCCCACATTTGACGCGCGCAGAGATGGCACGCGCCGCCTCCGTGACCTGGGCTTGTTTCAAATCATTATCGAAGAAGGTCCACATGTGCTCGGGCTAGAATTTACCATAAATATGCCAGACCAAGTGTCAGTGTCCGTCGGTGCGTGACCGCCACATACCGAGTGATTTCCCACTGCGAAGAAAATCTTCACTCTGGACACATTTCAATTTTTCGTAGTAATGTAGATGGGGGCAGGGGCAGAGCCAGGATTTTCAGCCCGGGGTGACATTCAACAAATTTTAATTTCAAGAATGATTAGAGAGTCAGGCTGTTGAACTAGAGTTCAGACGATACGATTGCGGCGCGGGCGCATCGACTGGAACTGCTCCATGATTTCGTCGTTGGTGACGCCTTTTGCGACGTCGTTTTCGACGAACAGGAGCATCGCGTCAGTAAAGTACTCGGGTCTTAATGTGCTTCATCGCGCTAAAGATGCGCTTGTCTGTGGCGGTGGCCACCGGTAGGGTCAACACGAGGCGCACCAGGCGGTAGACCAGGTGAAAGCGGGAATCTCCGCGGCCGCTTGTCGCCAGGTTGATGGACAGCATTGGCAGCATGTTCACATTGTTCAGCTCTTCATCTCGCCGGATTTCCTGTTCGAAGTGGAGCAGCTGCTGCTCGAGGAGAAGCATGTCGAGATTGGGAAAATTGCGCTTGTAAAAATCACAGGCCAGCTCCAGGATCTTGCTGACGTTGAACGACTCAAATCGTTTGTGGGGCGATAAATGGACCGCCAGCCGCAACATCTTCATCGACTCCGCGCTGAAACGCAGATCGAGCTCGACCAGCATATTGTCGATCGAGGCGTTAAAGAGGTCGATGTGAAACACGTGGTCTTTGGTGATGACGTAGGTGCAGCGCCGAGGACGTCCAGGGCGGGTGTGGTTCGCGTTCATGTCGACGACGGGTACCTCGTTGACGTCGCGGAAGGCGTTGACGTCCTTGAGCAGATCGTCGTAGCCGTTCTCGCGCAGCTCCTTCAGCGACTCAATGGTGCAATCGACAAGCCGCATCGCATTGACAACGTCCTGGTCCTCTTTCTGCAGCGCCACGTGCAAATCGTTCGTGATCTTAAGCAAGCGCTCCATCAGGTGCAGGCAGAACGCGAACTTGAACGAGAACATGTCGTTGAGAAGGCGATGAGCTTCGGCCCGTTGCTCTGCCTTGGCGCCGTCCTCTTCCACGTTCTGGATGACGACGGCAGTCGCGTTGAATATCTCAATCAGGCGGTGCAGCGAGCGTCAGAAAGGCGTCCACCTCGTGTTGCCCGCCGCCGACAACGCCGTCTCCTGATTCTGACCGCGGCCAGTGGAGACCGCCAGCTCATCGACCAGGTCGTCGACGAGCTTCTTGTGCTCGGCGAGCAGTTGGTCGTTGCGCTTGCACGAGCTGGTGGCAGTGTGGATTATGTCCTGGACAAGGTCAAAGAACGCGGCAATGTCGGCGACGCCATTTGTGCAGGCAGCGACGAGAGCGAGCTGCAGCTTATGCGCCCAGCAATGCGTGCAGTAGGCCATGTCGTTCATGGCCTTGATCAAGGTCTGCAAGCCAGCGATCTCACCGCTCGTGCTCGACGCGCCATCGTATCCTTGGCCGCGGCAGGTCTCAATAGGGTGCTGGCGACTCGAGAGCAGGTTGACAATGGCGCTGCAGAGGGTGGGCGCACACGTGTCCGACACGTGCTGAATGTCGACGAGTCGCTCGCGCAGGATGCCCGTACTGACCTCGACAAAGCGGTTGACGACGACCAGCTGCTCCTTCTTACTGACGTCACGCGACTCGTCCCCCATGATGCAATAGTACGCGTCGCCAATCTCGGTGTCGAGGCGCCGGCGCACCAGTTGAGCGTGAGCATGGATCAGGTCCTTCTGAACGTCGGCGCTGGTCATGGTCGTATTCTGCGGCGCGTTCTCCCAGGTGATGGCCGCAAGCAGTGCGTCGCGCTTGCGTAACATGTTGAGAATCTCCAGAAAATTGCCCCTGTTAAGAGAGCCAGGCGACTTGTCGTGTCCACGCATCGCAATGCCCTGGTTCATGCAGACGCGCATGACGTCGACGGAGGCGTCCAGGCGCTTGCGGTTGCCATCAATAGTTTTGGCATTCTGTCGGGCCAGCCCAGTGTCGCCCGTGATGACGTGCTGCCGGGCGTTGGGAAGGTCCCTGGCCTTCTTCACGGCGATGTTGTGTGCCGACTTGTGCCCACCCTGATGCTTATTGCAGGTTGAGAAGCCAGGGGAGTAGATGAATGCCGACGCAACGTTATCTGCGCTTGACGACGGCGGGAAGAGGTAGCAATAAAAGCAGTAAACAGACTCGCTGCTGAACGAGCACTCGAGCCAGTCGAACTGAACAAACAAAGACGCCGTCGGGCGGCGGGCAGCGCCGCCAGCGAACTTGGACGGGTTTTTCAACGTCCCGGTCAGGCCAGGTTGTGGAGCCGGAGGCGGTACGAACCGTCCCGCTTGCAGATACGCATGGCGCAATACTTCGGCGTCCGACTCCGCCATCGCCGCCATCGGTAGCCTCGTGGCGGGGTCGCGATCCAGAGCGCGAACATTTCGTAGCTGTCGCTCTTGCTCATCGGACTGTGGCTAAATCCGTTCTTCATCCGGCGGTGGCGAAGGCGAACGATCACGCCTCCGCTGAAGGGCAGGCTCGTCTTGCGCTTCAAGAGCAGGCCGAGGACGACGTGCTAAGAAATCGGCTATACCCCACGCCATCGGTTGGCGGACACACTCTGACAATGCAGTTGCACGGAGTCCGCCAGACCGAGTGTCGTACACTTATACGCAGAATGTTTCAGATTTTCGATTTTTTATTTTTTTTCGGGGGTGACAATTGTCAACCCTGTCACCCCCCTGGCTCCGCCCCTGGATGGGGGTTAGGGGGCAGTAGGGGAATAAATCCGCCATCGTTGTATTTGTGTTCTTCAGGTGTTCGTTGTGTAATTCAGAGTTAATTTAGTGATAAGCTGCTCCTATTAATAACCGGTTCACTGTCGTGTGATTATTGTGGCTTATTTGGGTTAGGGATGTCCTTCTTATAGTTGTTCGTGTGTACTATTGACAGCTTACGCGGTGAAATGTGAGCTGGTACGGGAATTCATTCAAGCGTATGTGTGTGTTAATTTAGCTTCGTGTCCTCTGTGGCAATAAATAAATAAGTAAAGGATGGAATTGTGTTTCAGTGGGTCTCACAGGATGTAAACCGATAGACAAAAATGTGCATAAGTCAGGCCTACATTAAAATCCATTTTTGTACCATTGGACTTTATTGACATTTTTTGTTAAGGAAGCCACGGTCACTTTTAATTAAGTCTGACAAAATAAAAAAGAAATCATCACAAAGGAATGCATGACCTCAAACACAAGAACTCTCCCAGGATCTCACTGATGGTTTGTTGTATAATCCTGGTGCAATTTCTCAAGGATAAGCAGCGGTGAGAAGAGCACACATCGTTTGAACGGACACCTCACTTGTTTCCCCCGTTTTTCACAGAAACGGGTTTGGTGAAGCCCCCACGCCGGCTGGCATCCTTCCAGCTGTGCCCACGTCTGCCGTACGGTGCGCGTCACCCCCCAGCCTCGTCCTCTGACATCAGCCAAACCCAACGTGGCCGCGGAGGCGGCGCCGGCGCCGGCGGGGATGGCCGGGAGGGTGAGGACGACGAGGAGGAGGAGGGGGAGGAGGAGGAGGCGGAAGGGGATGCGGCGGAGGCTCGCCCTGGCGAGGCGCTCGAACGCGCCGTGGCTGCGCTGCGCGACGTTCGGATCGGCGGCGAGCCGGCGCCGTCGCGCGCGGCCCGGGCGCCGTCGCTCGGCGCCGTCGAGGGCTCGCGGCGGCAGCAGCAGCAGCAGCAGCAGGGCCCGGACGCCTCCTCCATCGCGCTGCCCGATGACCTCAACCCGGACCTGTGGTTCCACGCGATGCACGGCAGCGGCGTGCTGCTGTCCGACGACCGCAGCCTCGCCCGCTCCGCCCCGGACGCGGCCGGCAGCGAGGCGGGAGACAACGAGAGCAACGGCAGCGGCAGGTTCAGCGCCGGCCAGAGCTTGGTGTTCACCAACCGGCCCGTGTTCATCGGAGAGACCATCTACGTGCGCGTCGGTGGGCAGCAGCAGCCCGGTGACCCCATCACCTTCGGCCTCACGTCCTGCGACCCGGCCACGCTGCGGCCGGACGAGCTGCCGACCGACCCTCACTCACTGGTCGACCGGAGGGAGTACTGGGTGGTGGTGACCGTGTGCCCTCTGCCCGGGTCTGCGCAGCAAATAAGCGAGCAAGGTGCAGAGGGGGAGGGGGCGGGGGAGCGAAGTGTGCAGTGTGGTCACGCCACGCACGTGCTTCCTTTCGTTTCATTGCGAAGGCTTGCGCTGTGCCACAGTGGGTGTCAGCGCGACAGCAAAAGTGGCACAATGGGAAATAAAGGCAGCTGCAGCTGCTGCTACAGCAGCGTTGCCCGTAAATAAATTAATATTGTTTGCCAGCAATTCAGAGTGCTATATTTAGGCCGATCGAGAGTGATGACGGCCAGGCAAGAATAGTCGATAATTATTTAATACACGAGTGGAAGCACCCATTGGTGAGCGATGGTCCCCCCCGCACTCCCCCCACCTCCCCACCCCTGGGTGCCCCCAACCCTCGTGTGCGATAACCCCCAAGGTTAAAGCCCCACCCGCGGTCCCGTCCCAGGTGCCCCCCCCCCCCCACCGCCACTCGCCACCCCCATACACGTACCAGCCACCCGTACTCTCCCCCTGCACGCTGGCACGCGGCCTCCAGCCAATCAAAACGTGCGCTGAGCAGCGCGCGGCATGCAGCCGATCAGCATGCTGGGAACTGACGGACAAAGCCATTCGTTTTTTTGCACAATATGATTTGAACTTTGCAGTGTTTAATCCAAGTAAGGTATTTCTGAAGCTATTTTGCTACATGCTATCCAACCCCATTTTCTTGTTCACCAAATTTCCACATCTCAGCATCATGATTCGATTCAAGAATTGATTTTTTTTTTTTACATGGAGGTGTCTGTCGAATTTGTAGTGGCTGCAGGTTTTACTTGGGAAAATTAAATACAGCAGTCATGATCTCTCCACAGCTGGACGAAGGCCTCCGCAAGCCACTCCCACCTCTTAATGACCCTGCGATGGAATGATCCACAAAAAATAGGCGCACAAAGGGATTTTCATCGCTCCATCTCCGCGGTGGTTGTTCTCAGAGTCATCTTCCCTCCTTTGACTGCCACTCTAATTGTTAGTCTTGACCACCAGCCGTCGCAGCTGCCAGCGACGTGACGCCTGCAACGTATGCAAATATAAATCAATGGATTTGTTGCGTGAGTGCGATGTGTCGTCAGAACAAGAATCAATGTCAAACGATGACTGATTAAATAAATATGCATAGTACTGTGTTGCCAGGGTAGATCTTTGTATTATTAGTATTATTGTTAGCAGCATCGTTTGAGAGAAATTAGCCCACCAGTGTGTGTTCAGGACAAGAGATCCGTCTTTTCAACGACATGCAGTGCAAATCCGAAAACACATCTTAGGGCAACACAGCACAACCACGGAAACCTTCACAGCACGCATTAGTGAACTCATTTCTCCATGTCAACAAATACTTATTTTTAATGCCCTTGTATTGATGCTTCCTTACAATAGACTCTATTCGTAGCAGGGGTCCTTCTGTTCAACACAGGGAGACAGCTGATTATTTTAAGCATCTGGACGAGCGCGGGTGAGGCGATCTGAACCACGACCCCTTTGGACCCCAGGCAGACACACTAACCACAGGGCGAGCGGGTCAGCTATTGATACAGAACCCAATTTCTAAAATTAGTCCTCCCGACAGCTGAAGCAACTCATCTTTTTTTTCATAGCAGAAGGTTATTGAGGCAACGGTGTTCCCGTGGGATGCCTTTATACGAGAGGCGATGAGTTGACATCCACAGGATTTTCGCGAGTGGTAATAGCGTAAGAGCAATGGGGTTGTTGTTGTTGTTGAAAGTGAGGCACTGTCGCGAGTGGAAATGAAAAGGCGCACAGCGGGTCGTTTATCCGCGTGGCGGGGTCGTCACCGCGCAGGCTGTCACGTCAGCCGCCCCTTGTTTCGCCTCTTCTCTTCCCATCCCATTTTGCTGCAATTTCCTCCGTGTGCTCTCCACTCCGGCTACCGCGGCCTCACGTCAACCCCACCCCCCCCCCCCTCTAGCCACTCGGCTAAGTAGCGGGGAGCTGCCGTCTGAAACCCTTTTTCTCTTGCCTCTAGGCATTGTGGACTCTATTCTCCTGTTCAAATTCAGGCTCACAAACTTACTCTTCTCTTCCAACTATCACCGGTTGCTTTTTTTCTCTTCTGAATTCTTGTTCCTCGCCCCACTGCATTGCACAGGGTGTCCTGTTAACCCCATGTTATGCATTTACAATATACATTTACCCGGCCTGGTGGAATTTACCCGGCCCATAGGAATTTGGAATTTCGTCCACTGGCTTATGGCCGCAAACAGGAGGGCGCGTGCTGTCTAAATACTAATTTTACTAAGAAATCACATTGACTTTGACTATGCTATACATAACAAAAAAACTAAATCTATTTTTATTATACCAGGGTCAGGCCCCACTGAGCTATGTGGCTCTTGTTCAGAAGCGACCTGGGCACAAATGATAGCTGAACGAAGTGGCTCGTCACGTGAACCTTATGGCGGGACCCCAGGGTCCCGAATAAACGGAAGTCAAAATCGTAATTAATTTATTTATTTTTGGCGACTCCGTCCCACCGCGCACATAAACGCCGCGACTCACCAGAAATCAATCCTCTCCTTCTTCACCAAGCGCCCGTCGTTGCCAAAATTGTCGTAGTCATAAACAAAACTTTGAAACTTTGATTAGCGCATCGTGCAGAGCTCGTCGAGAGGAATAGATTGCCGCACCGTTCGCCTTCAACAGACATCAAATGACGTCGCAACGCAGTTTATGCGAGAGCCGGGGGCTTATGAGATCCCGGGGTCCCGCCATAAGGTTCACGTGGACATTTATAGCAGTCAAATACTCTAAATGCGCGTTATAAATGTGGAAGGAATATGCTGATACTGAAACACAAATTACGATGAGTTATTTACACAAACTTGACACCAACATTGCATTTTCTTGTAGCACTCAATTGTCCAGAGGCCCATTGTCTGTCACCATCCTCATGTAAAATCGATAATGCTATGCCACATTTGTGCATGCCATTTTTCCCGACCCTGTGTTATACTGATTACATTACCTACAACATGCACAGCAAGCAGAGGTAAACCAAACAGTTTCGCTCACGTAGGTATAACCAGGACATTGGGGACACGCTGACGAATTATTTCCCTCCTTCGCCGCCTGCTTCCTTCCGGTGACACACGACGGCCTCTTTTGAACAATGCCTTGAAGATGTCGTATTTCAACATTACATCGATTCCAATTGCATTGCATTTCTCTGCACACCTGGCCTTTTGGGCTCACTATTCAGATGGAATGAGGCCAGAACGAAACCTGGAAGAGGTCCATTGATCATCTAAGGTACAGCGCCTGGTCGCAGCAGTTCAGGACTAACCCAGGCTTTGAGCCTCATGTCGCATTGAAACCAGAGCTTCATTTCAGATGGATCTTTCCTGGTTGGCAAAACCCGGAAATTATTTTTGGCACATAGCACTCAGAATACTACTTGCTATGGCTTTGGCTGCTATAGTTTAGTACCCACTCCGGTCTCCCACTAATTCGGAATGTATTCAGTGAGAAATTAAACCCTGCACGGAACGCTGTGTTTGACTGCTTGTTGTGGAGGTTGCGATGACACCCAGAGCCGGTCAAGCGTATTCGAAGTAATTTATTGGTAGCCGATTGATGTTTTGAGCGTTTGGATCTATGCTCAGCAACTGTGATGATGAGAAAAAAAATCAGCAAAAACAGCAGGGCTCAATTTTTTACTGAATATTCACTGGGTCGCTGGTAGACGGGAGTAGGTGGCACGTGACTATTAGCCACAGCCATAACGGAGAACATACTGTATGTATGTATGTTGAACTTGCACCGTACGTAGCCAACCGTGTTAATCGGAGGTGCTGTGTCGAGTGTGGGAATGTTGTCCCATCGTTGCCGACCTGAGCACACCTGACTGAATAAAGCCCCCCTGAGCAGTCGCAGTAATAGGAGTCACAATTGCGTTGCTTTCCTCCTCCGCCGCCGCTGCTGCTGCTGTGTCTGCAGATGAGGGCGGCTGCATGGGAGAGGCAGTGCTGGGCCTGGTGCTCATGCCAGATGGGGAGGTGCACCTGAGCCTCAACGGCACGAGAGAGGGCATGCTCGTGTGCGCCGACCCAGGCCCCCCGCTCTGGCTGCTCTTCGGATTCCGCAATGCCACTGCCACCGCGGAGATCGGCATTCTGGGTAAACGATGGCCTTTCTTTGTTGTTGTTGTTCTTGTCGTACGGCTGATGTAGGTGCAGAGCAACAACTACAAGTTCGCACTCGGGTGGCCAAGCGAGTTAACCGCGTCAGGAGCGGGAGGAAGTGTATCGCCCTGATGTCTCCTTCGCACGTGTGGATCGGGCATTGCGTTCGTGAAACGTTCTGGATGACCACAGTTGCACGTTGGAGAGTTTTTAATTTTCCATTTGTGCATCTGCCATGGTTTGTGCGGATGTGGTTTAGGGTGGACCATGAGAAGGAATGAAAGACCGGAGCACGGCATTTATTTCTTTTTAGCCAGGGAAAATTTACGCTGCTGGCCGAGGAGCTAATTACAACTGGTGCGGTGTGCGATGATAATCATACAGCTGTGTTTGGCGAGATCGGCTCGTGTGCGGGTGTAGGGTGGATTGTTTCATCGTGGGACCAGGAGGCGTGACGGTGGCTTGGGGAGACCATCCAGCAGTGGATTGATCGCGGCTGTTGATGATGATGATGACGACGACGTTTGGCCGGCCACTGTGCGTTAGTTGCGTTGCGAGAGCATTCCATTGGTAGGCGGTTTTTGTGGAGGCTCGGGTAATTGTAGGAATTATAAAATATAATAGAGTTTCGGGTTATAAAGGGTCAAAATGTGACCGCGTAACAAAACCGTGTACGTATGTATGTACGTTGAACTTCTTTCGCACCGTACGTAGCCAACCGTGCTAATCGGAGGTGCGGAATACAAATAGGGAGATGCGTGCGCATGTTTAGAGTTTTGAGAAGACGGGTGATTTTGTGCGTGCATTTTAAGAGGGGAAGAATGTTAGAGGTCAGAGAGAGAATTGGTAGAGGTGCAAATGAAGACATTTTGTAGAGAGGAACCATATCTATATATAAAAGGGAAATTTGTGAATGTGTGTCTGTTCAAAATGTTTAGCGTACTTCTCGACATGCAACCAACTTGAAATTTTCCATGTGGGTACTTTCCAGACTGTACACCATGCAAAAATTATAAAAATAGACTTTTGTATTTTTTTTGGGGGGGGGTGGGGGTGCAATAATGCACGGCAAGTGATCTGTGACGTCACATCTGTCATGTGACCCGCGCATGTGGAAGCGTAACGCATTGTAGTGTAGCGGTTAGCGCGCTGCGCTACGAACCCGGCGACCCGAGTTCGATTCCCGCTCACGATCACCACCGGTGACGATTATTTGAACCGGTCCTGGGCCTCCCCTAAGTCGACTCAGCCTCAAACAAGTAACTGGCGTGGTGTGTGAACATCGCCACTGAGGAGACAAAGGCGGCCGGGCGTGGTGAATCCAAGTCCCGGGCAAAGCCGGGTAGTAAAGCTAGTATATTATAAACAAAGACCGACTACATTGATGGGTTATAGTTAGAGCCTTCGGAGGGATCGTGGGGTGCAGGACCTTCACTCTTTCTGACCTTTCGCGAAACACATTGCTGAATTTTGCAATTACATTTATTGCCAGCAAACACACCTCTTTTTTCAGGTAAACAGACTTCACGCAGATCGCCAGAGATGACAGAGGCTTACGCAACACATTTAAATGCTGCCGAGTAAATGTCGCACGAGTCGCCGGCGTATTCTAGGTAACGGTGTCTTTAGAGGTATTTTCTGGGTAAAAAAACAACTGCACAGAATCCTAAGGCCGTGACCTCCATGGCATGCGCAGAGCTCTGTGTATTTTTGGAAAGCCAAGCTTGTCCATTGGTTGGGTGAGGCTTAGAATGTTGAACAGGGCGGGGCCCCCTTGTGGTGACAGGCTATCCAGATTATTTCATTGCGGGGCAGGCTGGTGGTTGGGGGGGTTATTCTGGATGAAGCCAAAAAGCTCGTTTAACATTCTGCGCAAGGGCGCCCCCTCACGTGCCATTAGTATTCCGTGTCGGGGCGTCTGGTGGCCCACGTTGGCATTTAGCAGCAACGCTGGAGTAGATGCGAATTGCCAGAGTTCTCACCTCAGCCGGTTTGGAAATACAACACAACTGTGGCCCACTCTTGTGCAATGGAGAAGGGCCATTTACAATTTCGATTTTTTTTTGTAGTCTATATTATTGATGACGTGTTTATTTCCCCCCCCCCCCCCCCCTTCTCTTCTGCGAAAGACATTAATAGGTGTTGGATGCTTTTTGTCATTTGAGATTTCAATCGGCACATTTCAGGACTCATTACATCTCGAAGCAAATGCGAAGGGGTGCTGTGTTGCGCACGCGGTTATAAAGCTCTACAGCATGTGTAATGCCTAAAAGCACATTTTTTTACATTTCCCTGGCAGCGGTCAAGAAGCACAGGTTGAAACTACTTTTGCAGCTTATCACGAACAAAACGTGTGTGAAAATAATTTTGTGTACATATATACACACCCAACACTTTGGTTGTGGACAGCAACCTTTTTTTCAGAGCAGAGAGCAGGTGGAATACAATTTTAAATACAATTTTGAGCTGTACTGAGGTTGATTGGATTTGGGGTTTGGGGTTGGGGGGGGACTGCAGCTACATGGATAGTTTCCATGAGAAGATAATGGGCACAAATAAATAACTAAAATATGCTGTGTCTGTAGCTGGCCCATGGCTTGCTGAGGATCCCTTATGGAGGTTATACACATCCTTGTTTACCATGCTGGAGACCAAGTAGCATTTTTTTGGAGGGCTTTAAGATAAACAGTTGAAACTATGTTTCTCAGCTGATAAATCTCACCACGAAAGTTATACATTTTAGTGAAGCAGCGTTAACTTCACTTGTTACAACGTGTGTGTGTGTGTGCGTGCGTGCGTTTCTAGGCACCCAAAAAGCCAGCTTTCTGGGGTCGTCGTCTCCCTCAATGGGCAGCAATCTCCCAAGCAGTGACTCGGACATCACCATCAGCAACAGCATCTCCTTCTCCTCCTCGTCATCTTCCCTCGGTACAATAAACAACGACGACGATGCCGCCTGGTTGTGCCCCCGGAAGGAGGGGGGGTGGGGATAGTGCCGCGGTGTAACGGTCGGCACGATGGATCTCCGTAGTCACCGGTTCAATTTCCCGGTGAGGCGGTTGGAGTGTAGGTGCTCCCGCCAGCGTGGAAGAGTAGGCCAAAACGCCCCCGAGAGGAGCTGTCGAAAGCTCCCTCCAGCCGAGCCCCTTCCACCAGTAGCGGTCTGAACAATTATGGATATTGATCATTAAAAGCGAGCGTGAAACTATTTGCTAAAATAATCTCATCCTAAGGATGAGACGAATTTTTTGCTCACGTGTTAAAAATAATATCTCTTTTGTTAGTCCGCTGCTGGATGAAGGCTACCTCATGCCACGTGGCTCACAGGGGTTGCTTGACCATACTTTACCACGTTGGCTCAATGTGGTCCGGTGGAGGAGGGGGCCCACAACCGCTTCAGATATCGCTCGCCACAAATGTGACCCTGTGCCGGGAATAAAACTCAGCTTGGTGCATACATCCTGCGGTGCCCTAACCCACTGCACAACAGCTCCCCCCCCCCCCCCCCCTCATGTGGTAAAATCACAGCGTGCCGATCACATCACACGTTTGCTTTTCCTTACCAAGATAATGAACAGGCAGAACTCGCCGCATTATTAACGGCAAACGGCTTTGGCGTTTTTTCCTTCCCCCCTCCCCCTTTTTCCCCCGTGAAGTGACAGCGCCCGGCTCTCCGCTCGGCGACGGCCCGACCGCCGTCTTCCCAGCTTGCCCGGTGCCCACCACCACCACCACCACGGCGGCGGTCTCCGTGGCGGCGGTCTCCGTGGCGGTGGGCGCCCCGCCCCCGCGGGGGCACGGCGAGCGTGCCGCGTCCCCACGGGGGCGTGGCGAGTGCACAATCTGCTTGGAGAACCCGGCCGACTCGGTGATCTACACGTGCGGACACCTGTGCCTGTGCTACGCCTGCGGCCACAGGCTGCGCCGGCAGATCAACCCGGCGTGCCCCATCTGCAGGCGCCTCATCAAGGACGTCATCCGGACTTACCCCATTTAAAGGATGGTGGGGGGGGGGGTCGCTCGTGTCCCCCGCCCTCCCCCCGTGCGCCATCGCCCCCCTCTCTCCCCCCCCCCCAACCCGACTCTCCCGTTCGCCACGATTGCCGCATCCCCCCTCCCGCCTCGAGCTCCGCGCTCCCCGCCGCTCCGCCCGTCTCTGCCAACCTCCGTCCCTGTTGCCCGTCGTCAGTGCGCCACTGCTCCCCCAAAGCGCCTCCTCGGCTCGCCGCTTACAAGCCCGCTTCGCTCCGGGCACCCGTCTGCATGTGCGAATGGTGTTGAGTGTCATACCTTGACTTGTGAGCCACACCCATTCACTTGCTCATTCATGGGCACACATGGGTATGGGTTAAGTGTGCAAGTTAGAGGATTCGTTTAGTTGCCGCTTTGATGGTAAAAGAGGATTATTGTTTTTTTTTTTACGTCGGACTGTCGAATAAATTGTTTCATAATAGATAGATCTATATTATATATATAACATGCTCAGACATGCTTTTCAAGATGACCTACAAAGCTAATGTTACACGTACCTTTATCTGCAGCTTCACCTCAACTCATCCGATCGTGGCAGCTCCATCAGTGATTGAAGAGCTGGCTGCCAAAAAAAACAAACTGTAATAGAATTAAATTATTCACGTATCTCTGCCATCTGCATGTGTATGAGGAGGCATTCTGTACATTTACACAGCCAGATGATTGTTTTCACAGTGCCCGTCCTTTGTTGGTTCTCATCGATCATTTTTAAGTTAATTTTTTTTTTAATTTCATTTTATTAGAGATTTGTAAAACGTATTTGTGACCCACGACCGTGACGTTCTGTGCCTCGCAAACGAGGCGTACGTCCGTCGTCATGAAGCGGTTCTCATTATTTATAGCGAACGTGTTGCAGTAATTCCACATAGGTGTTAATATGCGCGTGTGGTGCTTGTTTGGAACTGGTAGTCATGAGATTTTGACCTTGACGCGTGAGTTTTCGCGGCCGCTTGTCCAGGCGTAGGTTTTAGGGGCTCGGCCGCGCGCCTGGCGTTTGTTCCCCCTCCGTATTTCGCCGCGCACTGCCGCGTTCATCTCATCCAACTCCTGAAGTTGCCCGCGTGGCGAAAGCTTGAGAGAGAGAGAGAGAAGAAGAAATGATCAAAACGCAGTCCCCAACCCGGTAAACCGCCCTGTGAGATTTCAACCTTTGTTCGGTCGAAGTCGTTATGAATGGGGCGGTGTGAATGTCTCTTTCACAGCGTACAACACCGCTGTAGCAGAGTGCGGATTCGACGATCACGTGTGGCGGTCCTGTCACGTTTATTTATGTTTCGTTGACACAGCCTGCTACACTCACTTGACACTTCTCCACCTAATTATTTCTTATCTGCACAAAAGCAATGCTTGGCTGAAGACGATGAAGGTTTGACCGGTCGCTGGTCCGCTATTTTATGGCTTTCGAAGAGTGCAATGAAATTAAGAGAATATACTCACTTAGAGCTCAACATGAATTTTAACTGTAACCTGCGAGCAGAAAATTTGGAGGCACATTCCTTTAAATACAATTGGATCACGTGGGTTTGTATAAATAAACAAAAAAACATGACAACTTTGATGTGCGATTGAATGCAATTTTAATCATAAAAAAAAACAATCTGAAGAAAATCGTTGTCCACAATTGACTTTTTCCCTGTTTCTGCTGTACTTTGATAAAAGGGCAGCATTGTAGAGTGGATGTTCCTGGCCTATGTGTTCAGAGCCAGCAATTTATCCCCTCATTCAGTTGTAGTTTCTCCACGCACTCTTGTGATATTCCTACACTGAAACACACGCACACGCTAAATAAACTGAAGCTGTTCCCACACTAAAACGCACAATAAATGTATTGGCCGAACGTTCACAAGTATGACCGTCCCGAAAATAATATTATTCGCGCTCTGTAAAGCACGTATAGTGATATCAAAAGTCTCCCTGCCCACTTCGGGCTATGGGGGCTCATCTCTGGCGGAAATGGGGCGATCCTTTGGTGGGGGCCAGTCTGTCTCTAGATCCTGGGGGAAAAAAGAGTAAATTATTTATTATTGATATTATTACGCGATGCGACAATTTGGCGCAACTCGTGAGATAAATGTTACAGAATACGAAGCACTCACTATCACGTGGACACGTGGGATAAAGGGAAACTGACTCGCAAATTGTTTGAGACTCGACGTGTGTCTGGTTATAGAGCGGGCGGCTATTATGTAGTTGGAGATGTAACGATGAAACAGTTTAATTTTTTTTAATGTTCATATATGAGATGTGTTCGTTGGTTTCTTTCGTTTTTGCAATAAAAGAGAAAAGTTTGTGTTTTATGTAATACGGTGTACACGCTTCCATTGCCTTGTGGTTTTATATTGAAATATGCCTTCAGGCTTATTCTAGCGACGTACAATATTGTCATCGTATGCGATACAAACGGATTCTGCCGTTGTGTATAACTGTTAGCACACCAGATGTGTAATCCAGAGGTTATAGTTTCGATCTCCAGGCGCGGGCTGTTGAAACAAGTTTGTGAAAATAATTCCCCCCATATCTCTTCAAGCCGGTAGTACGACCCGGGGTAAGGCCCGGTTAAGTCGACTGGCATGTCGCCTGTGCTGAGGTATGGTCACGAGAGCTCACCTTCGTGGGGGCCTCTCCACCAGCAGTGGCGCGAGTAGGCAATTGCAGGGCTGCACCTTTATATGATGAAAAATGGCAACCAAAATTAAATGCGCTTTATACAGCAGGCAATTGTTTTTAACGTTTATTTTCAGTGATTGAAAGTTGTTTACATTTTATTCTTTACCTTGCTTCATAATTCGCTGAAACATTAGTTAGCATCATGCGTATCCTCAATGTTGGTTGATTTAATAGCAGTAACTGTTTGGAATACTATAGACTTGTGGAATATGATATTAACATGAATTGAAAGCATATTTATATTTGATTCAATAACTACATTTTTTTAAACGTTTACAAAATATTGCATATATTGCACAATTTTTTTTTACGATTCTAACCTTTCACTGAAAAACAAAAGTTTTGGCACAAATTTAGCATGACATTTAAAAAAATTATGTTAAGTGTGCTATAGAGTTAGCTTGCACACAAAACGAATTGCTTATGAATATATTTGGGAAGACATCACTGTAAAGTACCATTTTTATTCTCTCTATTACATTTTCGATGCATACAGTATATTTTAAAATTATATTGACAAATAATTGAACTATTTCCCCCAAATGTTGGTGAACCATGCCACAGGTACGACTATGATAAATTTATACATAATGTATGTTTAATGTAGCTTAGCCGTAGCTCACTCGTCACCACATTGGTAATTGGGCTTTGTTTGACCATATTTCATCACGCTGGTCACTGCAGGTTGGTGAAGGGGGCCCCGGGATAGGTTCAAATTATTACTCGCCACTGACATTAGCCGTGTCCGGATACCCAAATCGGGTAGGCGAGTTTTTACTGCACAGTGCGCTAACCACCGCGCCACCGCTCCACGTTACTGGGGATAATCACAGAGGAGATGTTTACCGACACCTGCAACCGAAATGTGTCCATCCTTCAATACGCGGCTGTAATGACAGAGGAGAAAAACCCAGCATCTCTTGAGAAATGACCGCTCCTGCCAATGTCTCGCGAGGCCTGCCTCTCACAAAGCACACGCTGGCGAGAGAGCCTCCCAGAGCAACTTAACAGCTCAACACAGTTGCACGTCCCAGCGCATTCAATTACAGGAGCAATCTCGTACGTCTCACTCCCAGCGTCGGGCTCTGTGGAGAAAATTGAATATCCACCGGTCATGAGATGGGTGGTTTGCGAAGCGTGTGGGCGGCGGGGCAAGTGCGAGGCACCGCTGCTTATGAGGACGTTCGAAGGTCGACGGGGTCAAGCGTGAGGTCGGCGCGGGTGTAAACACGATTATTTTTAGGGTTAGGAGGGATTGTCAGAGAGGGCGGCTCTTGGTGTTGCGGTCGATGTCACGCTCATAATGTCACTCGTGTAGGGAAGCCTCGTGTGGTCAACGGTATCTTTCGTGAGGATCCTGCATACATTGCGATGTTTGACCAGTTCGGTTTTTAGAGAGTGGAGTGTGTGTGTGGAAGAACATTGGAGAACCCAGAGAAAACCCACACTTGCGTGGAGGGGTAGGGGGTGGTAAACCAATGTTCCGCATGGAAGAGTTCACGACTCACTTTTGCTGTGCTTCCATCTTCTGGCCACATAGCAGCCCAGCGGGTTTCGGGAGTTTCACGAATCTCTCTCTCTCACACGACGTGATCCACCAATCAAGTGTTGGATCTTCGGCGTGCGTCACCATGCCAGGCCTTAACATGCCTGTCGTGTGTGCAAGCCAGGGCCGGAAGATAAATGTTGAGGTCACCCTTCACGGCTTCACCCCTGCTGCCGAATCAAGATGTAGCCCGCGGGAGATTTCACCTTGTCAACATAGGTGGTAGAAATGTACAAAAGTTCAAACACCTTTAGTCCCTGGCCGCCCCTCGTGCATATGTCACGATAAATACACCCGGTGGAAGATTTACTGTCAGGAATATATGGGCCATGACAAAGAGGCAACTGGAATGCACAAAAGAAATGAACGTTTTTTTTCTGGCGTGATATATGGCAGCGTAAGACATTTTAATGCTTTACATTTTGTTTATGGCGTAATTATTTTGCAGAGTGACACAATATTTTTCTTTCCCTCTTAGCCGTGTTTGTGAATTACACATGCGCGTGCGAAGATCCCTGCATCGGGGTGATTACAATACATCGCTAGCTGTTTTTTTACGCCACACATTTCAAGGCATCGCTGGATTTTACACAGCAATGTGCTTTTTCTGGAATTTGCTCATTCAAGAGCTTGGCTGCATCAAAGCTGAATCGTACCTGAACTCAGTTTTTCAACAATTTTAACAAGCGGTTAACATTACAGACACTTATGTATACGTTTATATGTTTTTTAAGAGTCTGTCATCATAGGAAGGTAGTGGCAGGAGGTGGCACGAGAATGGCACCGTTCCCCGGGCACGAACATGTCAAGCTGCGGCTATGAACTCCACTCTATGCCCTGCTCTATATTCTGTATCCTGGTCGGTGTGGCTTGGAGTAGGGAGCCAGATCCGGTTTAGATATCACTCGCCACTGCTGTTAAGCCATGCCCGGGAATCAAACTCAGGTTCGCTGGGTTTAGACCTCAATGCACGAACCACTGTGTGCTTAGTTGTAATCGTTCCTTCTTCTTCACGTTGACATTTCTTCTTTGGATGGCGAGTAAAGAGGTAAACTGCCATGGCGTCCATGCGTGAATCTGATGTCTTTCTCTCAAGTGAAATCTGTAATAAGAGAGTACACCGACGGTCGCTGACCGGCTGGATAGGCTACACTGTATCAGCCATGAGCAAATCAAGTTAAGTCGGATCATCTGGGCCGAAGTTCAGGGGCGGAGCTCAAGGGTCCTTGCGGGGAACCATCGGGAAGGTTCTAGAAGGGGCGTGGCTAGAGGCGGGGCTTGGCTCCGCGTAGAGGTGATTCGACGTGACTGATGATACCTGTACTGAATCACGTGATACGGTAGCGGGTAGCAAAGCGGGGATTGTTCTTGGCTGTGAGTCATAGGGTCAGCAGTTCAATTCCACCCTATTATTGTGTTGAACAATGCTTTAAACTGATTTAGTTAGCATATGGTGTATAGAGTCCACTGTCCTCCGTTGTGGTGTGATGGGTAGCATGGCCACCTTGAAAGTTGTTACGGGTTCGAATACAATACATGCCTTTTTAATTAGTTAAATGTGATGACGTCTTTAATTTAAAGTGTTGACATCACTAATGTCCGGTGGGGGAGTGGGGAGCACACGAGGTTGTGAGTCGTCGTCATGGAGTGCAAAGTTCAAATCTGATTTTTTTATGTCATACTTTTGTTTGCTAATTGAATGCAAAAAAATTCTAACATATTTTATTCAAAAAGTACAACAACAAAAAAGGCAAAATTTCGTGGATAACATTGCTTGCTTCTAAAGTCCAGAGACCTGGGTTCAAATACCACCGTTGATTTTTTGACACTTTACAAATTACGCGATGACGTCACCGTATGTAAAATGACGTCATTCCTTATGTTTACGCAGAATGCAATTACTTACACCGCCTGAGACCCCCGTATCTGTGTGAGGACACGGTGGCTCAAAGTGTTGAGAAGCAACCCCAGAACTCTGCACCTGCAAGGTTCGAATCCCTGTGAAGGCAATACAAGCAAAGGCACAAGAGAAACGTGCAAATGTAGAGAGGAGATTGAACCATAAACTGGAGGTATTTTGAGATCGGGAAAAGTTGTCTGTGATGTGATGGCACCAGAAGTTGACGGGACCTGAAAAAGAGAGGATGAGGGAAAGCAATGAAAGTTATTTTATTTTTTTTATACGGTTGGAAATTTTGGCCCCTAGGAGGCAGTGCTAGGGGGCGCTGTTTAATTAAATACCCATTGGGAAATGTAGTTTTCTTGCAAATAAACGGATTTAAACCGGGGTTTCAACCCTTCAAAGATAAAAAAAATCACTATTTTATGCAAAATCGCGGTTAAATAATGGCAACAAATGTCCAAAACGTAATGTGACGTGAAAAATGTCATTGTTAATGAAATTGCTGTTTTCAGGAGATAATTGCTTAACAACGAATAAGAGAAAAAACATGATTTATCGAGCAAAAGTACTGTTAAATATTACTTAAACCTTGCTTTTAAATCGACAATAATAGTAACCAGTGGTGAAATATGGTGAAAAATCCCTCATCCACAGACGAGAAAGGCCTTCATCCAGCAGTGGATTTACAAAAGGACTGCATTGTGTACAATCTGCAACCAATAAAAGAGTTAAAAGTGTGAACCAATACCAAACTCACTATATCCCTCTATGTAACTCTTTAAAGACCATTTAAATATACAGGCCATTTTTTACGTAAAAATTACATCGACAAAACATGTCTTATCGACAAATAAATGGTGTCTAAAAGGGCAACCCGTAACTTTCATGTGAACTGCCATTATGGAAAAAAAACAGTCGGCAAACCCACGTGAGAAAACATTCAAAACCATTTTTATCTTATCTCTCCCCTCTCACCTTGCTCCACTCCCTTCCCATGCTCTCAGCTCCAGCAGACGAGACCTGTTCCAGCACTTTCTCTCCTCCACTGCCTTTGACTCTCTTTGTGAAGGCCATTCTTTCCCTGTCCGTCCTGTACCCCCCTGCCCCCTCTCCTCCTGCGCGAGTGACAGAACACGCCCTTCTATCTCTCCTTCGTTCCCAGGATCAAGTCACACGAAGACCCTTCATAATTC